GATTTAGGCCTTTCTAAGCCAGCTTGGTCCTGATTGCCTATTTATGCAACTTTGAATTTCCAGCCTATAATACCTCCCCATCCCGTTTTCCCTGTGAAGTTTCCTAATGTTTTATACCACTTATCTCCGTATCACTCTTGCATCTCAACCTGTGTATTTCCTTCACATTTCTGAAACTCCTTTAAATGAGTCATTCAGTAACATTTTGCTGCGCTTCCTTGTCTTGCAAAGGTTGAATACATTTATCCCTATATTTTTGAAGTTCCAGTGTAATGTGAAGCCCCAGGGGAGCCCTTCTGGCTTTTATTTTCTCTGCAGGAGTCCGTGCTTAGTTTATCGTCCCTGCAGGATGCCATGTGAACAGCAGAGTTCATGATTGACAAGTGAGGCTCCAAAGGGCTATCGCTATCAGTGCAGGCAGGGCCGATACATATTTCATCACTTTGGCAGGGGTTTCCACAGGTCTTGTGATCTTCGCAGAGATCCTTATGGGAAATTCAATGAGGAGAGTCTCAGGAGAGGTTGGAAGACAAGAAACACAGAGGCTGCTTTGAGGTGATTGTGTTGGTGGTGGAAAAGAGAGATAATGACATTGAAAAAGAAGCAGTGAAATAAGAAAAAGGTAAGGAGAGAAGAAGAGCCTCTTGTGCTATTAAGTTTTCTGCAGGGAATAAGGAGACAAGTTCAAAGATCATTGAGGTTTTGGCTCATGGGGAGGAATAAGCAAATGTGAAGTGTGCATTTGAGGGATATCGCCCCAGCGTTAGGGCAAGGTGTTTAACCAGAGAGGCAATAAAGAAAAAGAGAGAAAGAAATGTGGCAAAGGGAAAGAAAAGTTTGTTGGCAACAGTACTGAGAAAAATAACACCCTTAAAGCAGTTATTAAAATGGTCAGCAACACAGAAAGAAGAAGCCAAAGGAAGGGGAAAAGGAGAAAACCAAGAACTGCTATGCTGAAATGCCTGAGGGAGAGGGGGCTCCTATTCCCCCATTTCTTCTCAAATTTCTGTTAATGTACCTAGTGAAGAGCTCCTGTGTTTCCATTCCAGTCTCTCTGTTTGCACCTTTTCATGTAGCTTTCTTTTGTTTACCCATGTATATGTGACTTACAGATGTAGTTACCCCATTTTGCATCACCCCTGAGAATTTTCAGAGAAGGTACAGCCTGAGCAGAACACAGCAGCCAAAACTACCTGATAGTTTGCAGTGTGAGCAATCTGATGGGCAATAACTGGTGGTTGTTTCTCACCCCCCATTTCTTAAGAATTGCAGGAATTTTTTGTTTACTTCTGAATATACCTCAAGGTTTGATTTTTGACTGCTAAAGAGTCAATTCCTACATTGAGAGCTGTTGGGTGTTTACAAGCCACGTGCCTAGGTCTAATGTGCCAGCTATGCAACATGCCCAGTGAGGACTCTGCTGTACCTAGTCTGGCAAGGACTGTGGAGTGGCTTTCAGGGAAAGGTTACCATTTCATTTTTTTCCCCAGGTCCTTGTCTGCAGGAATATGGAAGGATGGGGCATGTGTTTATTTTGGGAAATACTGTCTCTTCTGTGTCTGAGAGGGAATCATTTGTCAATGTGTTATTGTTAAACTATATACATGCTCTCTGGAGTCTTGTACACAACACGCTATCTCTCTGCAAGGGGAATATACAGGTACTTGCTGGCGCAAAGTCAGGATCTGTAACGAGCTCAGCTCTTCATTGACAAGGAAAGTGGAAGTGACATTTGCACAGGACTTTGCAGCAGCTTCTCACACAGTATTACACAGACTGAGAAAAAAACCAAAAAACCAGCCCCTGAAGAAAGAGAGAAGATGAGTTCCACAGGGGTTACTGTGTGATGAGACTTCAGGAGCAGTGTGCTGCATCCGTAGCCAGTGTCCTGAGAGCAGCAACAGTCCTCTTCCTCAAGGCACTGCTGTCACAAACAGGCAGCCTGTCTCTGTAAAACTCAGGGGAGAGAGAGAGTTGAAGGCAAACCCCGACATTTGGAAATTAGTCAGCCACTCTGTCTCATTCCTGGTTGCCTGCCTGCCTGGCAGTGGAGCAAGCTAGTGAAAATGTTCTTCTGATCACAGAAGGTTTGGAAGCAAACTGGCAGATCAACAACCAGGGCATGTGTCAGCATTACCTTCAATCAAAATGCTTCACTAAAGGATTCACTTCAGTAGCACTATAAAATAAAGGTTTGGCTTAACATTTTGTCTCTCTTGTCCTTGTCTTGCTTCTTTCCCTGGAGGAGCCTCACATGTGCCACAGTGACAAGAAGGCAGTCTCAAACAAGCTTCTCACAAATGAGCCACACTTCTCTCCTGTCTCCCCCCAGTTCAGTCGCATCCCACACTTCTCCAAGGCACCCAAATGATGTTCTGGATAAACCAATTCCAATCCCAAAATCTGTTTTATGTCCTTATATAGCCCAAACATGAACTTGAGGTTCTTTCTTCTCCAAGTCATTGCCCATCTCAATGGCAAATGCTGTCTTTGCAGAAATTCTCACTCCAGTTAATCACCTTTCTCTACTCCCTCCCTGTCCCACCGTTCTCTCTCTGCTCTTCCACAGGGGGCTCAGGCGCTCATCATCAACTCAGTCTCCTTCCTCCTTTCCTGTGGAGGTCACAAGTGCTCAGGGTGGAGGAAGCTGATGCTGTGAGATGAGGAAGGGTTGAGAAGCAATGAACCCCTTGCAAACGTGAGCTGGAGAGGGCTCCTCTCAGCTCTCTGCTTGCTCTCAGATGTGCCTCTTGTCAGTTTTGCAGCTCTTGGAAAAGCAGCCAGAAGGGTTTTGCTGTTTTTTTCAATCTGTCAGGAACCAGACAGCCATGCAGGGCAGAGGGGTGTGAAGCTACAGGTTAAGAAAAAACTAAATATCTCAAGTCACTAGAAAAAAGTTGCACAAAGCCAGAGACTGTGAGAGACAGAGACTTCAGACAGCGTCGCTCTATGGTAGCCTTCACCATGTTGGAAAATAGAGGTTTTTGCCATTGTTGTAAAAGAAGTGTCGGGCTTTGACAAACACATCTTTCAACTGCTTGTTTCTTCTTCCTCTGACAGAGCTCTCTTTCAATAATTCAAATAAATTCTCCTTGGGAGCTGAATTTCTGTACTGGAATAATTAAGATCTGAGATTATTCCCATAAACTCTTAGACAGTGTGACATCAGTGATGTCTGTCAGCAGGACTTACCTCTGCCATAGCTCAGCGGTGGCTGCGAGCACAGGAGAAGCGACACGGGTAGGGAGACAACACTTTTTATCAGACCAAATGGTAGACCTGAATAAAGGCCTTTGTATCAAAAGTTACCCATTGTCTCCATTTTCTGCTGGCCTAATCAAAGACAGGATTTCCTCCTGCTAGCCTTGTGTTGCTTACATTACCTGTGCTTTGATCAGGGTCTACCGTTCACTTCAAACACTTCCCCAGGACATTTGCTTGTTTTAATCACCACTGGCTGTCTCTTTTGCTATCAAAGGAGCTCCCTTTGCTAGTTTTTGATATGGGGAATGCATCGCCCTGTAATCAAAGTGATGTTTAACTTGTCCCTGAGCATCTGGAAAAAAACCTTGAAGAGCAGTTACTGGCTAAATGTAAAATCCATATTTATTAACAGCTGTGCAGGCTGAGAGGGATGTGTGTGTATGTATATACATATACATAGTTCAAATATACATATACATAGTTCAAGTGTGAAGGCAGCTGCTTTTTTATATTGCAGATTCAGGGCATACTATCTTTATTTTTAAAATAGAGTTATAAAATTTTAAAAAAATGCACGGGAAAAATACTTTTAATTTCTTACTACATAATACCATTCAACTGAGTTTCTTAGGATATTATAAAACCACACTTAATACTTACGGTGATCTTGTGATTATCATTGTAATCGTTAGGACTGGACCGACAAATGGTTTAGTAAAAATATTTGAAATTTTAAATATTAAAGTGGAATAAGCAAGTGGAAGGTGAGTGTCTCTCTGGTCTCACTGCTCTCTGCTCTCTACTGGTTTCTGCTCTCTACTGGTCTACTGGTCTCTGCTCTCACTTCAGCAGCCTTATCCAGAATTCCTGCAGACCCGACTCATCCCTGATTCCCATCCATCTTCTCTGGGTTTTGATGGAGTTACAGAAAAGCAGGCTGAAATCACTTGGAGCTGATCAACCGGTATGTCATGTATATATAATCACACAGAACAGGTTTACATGCATGGAAAAAAAACCAAAACTACTACTATTTTGAGACCTCTTTTGCCTCAAAGAATGACCTCACTGATGATGTCACTACATGCAGATAATAACATAGGCCACCCTGTGTGTCACCCATGTTTTAGCTTAGAATGTTGTCCTGTCTTTTGCTTGAGCAGGTGATGTTTGTTGGTGGCAGTTGCACATTAGATTGAAACATTGGTATTTATGGCTTTTGCTGAAGAAATGGTTGAACACACCACCCTACTCAACAAGCTACAAAGGGAGCCATCCGGGATAAGTAACATTTCTGAGCAGACAAGGAGGACCAGGGGAATGCACTTCAGTAGGCAGGAGATAATAGCTGGGACCAGTGCTCCCCGGGCCAGGGCTGGACACTGTCCATGGGCTACAAAGCCATGTGGATCTTCCTGGACTCATGCCTGGGACCGGCACCACGGAGAGCCTACACTCTCATTAAACCCCTGGGCAAGATGATGATGACAGGAGAGACAAAGGGCCCTCCAGACAAGGATGCTTGTCCTATTTCAGTGTATTTATAGCGTATCCTTTCTTTGTTCTGCTCCGTGTCCTTGAGGGATGAGGGTCAATTAAGTCTGAATGTCAGAGCTAGCATTGCTACCCACAGTCATTGTGAGCACCAGAACGGCTGTCAGCAAGGCCAGAAATAACCTGCCACCCAGAAGCAGGCAGGACAGTCAGTGGAGTGGGGATCTGTTGTACAAGCTGGTGTTTTGCCAAAAGAATGATGCCGCCTTCTCCTCTGGCATTTGTGTCTGTAGTACCTCTGCATGCGCTCACTTCAAGTCCCCGAAAACAGCACTTCCCTCATCCAGCTGGACCTGGGTGAAGGGTGGGTGTCTGCTCTGACCTCACCAGGTGCCTGGAGCGGCACAGGTGGGTGGGAAGTGGCTGGTCCCTGTGGATGGAGGTGCCAGTCCTGTGGTGAGATGAGCCACGCTCTTGGGGTGAAATAAATCCTGTTCTCCACCTCCTGCTTGCAGAGCTGCACTGTATGCAGATCACAAATGGAGTTTTACCAAATCAGAAAAAAAGAAAAAAATGTAACAAGCCATCAGTGTTCAAATTGGAGACTTTCAGATTATTAGGAAGAAATACAAACCACCATGCTCTCTGCTCTCTTTGTGGTGCAGCTAAATGAGCCACTGCAACCACTGTTGTGCTCCACTGATTTTTTTGTTACTCAGTGACTACTGTGGT